GTTTGGCAAAGAAATAGAAAGCGCAGATATAAGAGCTGACATTTATCGCCTACTCTGTGCCAGGCTTGTTGCATATGTTGGCTCATTTAATCTTTGCAAAACCTCTGTTTTGTGGGTGAGGACACTGAAGTTCAAAGAAGTTAAGTAACTTATTCAAGGGTATATAGCGAACATGTGTATTGATTTGGTGGCTTTCATGTTTCATGTTCTCTATAGGGGAGTGAGCTCTGGGAGGGCAAGGGCTTACACCTTAGTTTTACTCTCTGCCATATCTCTGCTCAGTCTGGCCCACAGAAGGTGCTCAGTCAATATCTGTGGAATGTTTGGATAAGCAATGTGGGAGAGAATGAATGAATGAATGAATGAATGAGCAGAGCGAGAACTGTCCTCATGTCTATTCAAGCTCTGCATCCCATGCTTCCCCCACCATACCACAAAGAATTGCTGTTTCTTCTTCACCCTGTGGAATAAGTAGCTGAATGGAACTATAATCCTTTATATCATATTTCATAGTTTTTATTTCATTTTATGCTTTTCAGTTCTACTGAGAAAAATTTTTTCCTGTGATGAGAACTTTTAAGGTCTATTCACTTGGCAACTTTCAAATACACAGTAGAGTATTGTTAACCAGAGTCACCATACTGTACATCACATCCCTGGGACTTATTTACTTATAAGTGAAAGTTTGTGCCTTTTGACCACCTTCACCCTTCCCCCCTCAACCCGCAGCCCCCACCCCTGGCCACCGCAAATCTGACCTCTGTTTCTATGAATTCGTTTTATTAGATTCCACATGTAAGTGACATCATACAGTATTTGTTTTTCTCTTCTCTGACTTATTTCACTTGGCATAATGCCCTCAGGTTGGGTGGGGCTATAATTTAACATTTTAGTTGCTCTGGCCCAAGTGAATGTTTTAATTAGCAGTTTATTGTGCTTAAAATAAATATCTGATTATAGCTTAGGTAGCAGATAGAGTATGAAGCAAAAGAGAATTCTTTAAAAAAAAAAAAGTCTCATGATGAGGGAAATAGGCATGGGGTAAATAAGTGTTTGATAAAAGTTTTCTTGTTTTCCCATAAGTATATTCTGGGTCAGAGTAACTGGACTCTCTAGCTCCTGACCTATATAGTAGGGGCTGAATCAATATTACTGAATGAATGACTAACAGACGGCTAATACATGTTTTCAGATAATGAGAAGGGGATAAGTGCAAATTCATAGAAGGAAGTAGTAATAGCAATCATTCCCAGAGGGGTAAAACTCTTCTTAGCAGAGTCGTAAGTTTTACTGTTGTATAAATTACAAGTTCCTGGGGTGAGCCTTTTAGGGGATATGATTTAAAAACTGATGACTATAGAACCAGAAATTGTGGAACTTCCCTGCCTACCTCCCTCCTCAATCTCAGTCCAAACATTTAGATGAAAGAACCTCGCCCTCCTTGAGAAAATGAGATCAAGTATCCTCACGCTTTGTAGCTCCCTTTCCTTCTGCTGCCCTCATTTTTCCCCACACAGTCACCAAAGGCAAATTAGGAAGCCCCGTTTGAGTTAGTGAATATTAAAAATGATGTCAGAGGGAAAGGCGCAGATGAAAGCCAGCCCTAGAGATGAAGCATTTATTTGAAACCGTTACTGGAAGGCAGATCCAGCACATAAAATATAAAACCACCCCGTGCCAGCCTCCAGTAAGTGTGACGGGGTTTTCCAACTTCCCAGGTTCGGAATCTAGGCGCTAAGGTGCTGGCCTTGGCCCTGGTCTGGCCCCTGCTCTGTCTTTCCTCCTCTTTGTCCAAACTGGGTTGAAGTTTTCTTCCTCTGCCTTTGAATTAGTACAAGTGGGCTTGATGAATGAGTTACAAATCTTGCCTGAAGGTTGCTGAACTACAGGAAGCATGTTTTTTTGGCTTTTGGTTAGTAAACATCAGCAAAGCTATGTTTGGTTTCTAAGCCCAGAGGCAAGGGGAGAGAAAGCAAGATGGACAGGAAAGCATGAGGTAAAACATTTATAGGTGAACCCTGGCTTGCATGAAGCCATTCCCTTCAAAACTAGTAGAATTTCGATTTGGAACAATCTCCCCCCCCCCCAACTTCTCCCTCTCCTCCTTAGCTGTCTCTTACACAAATTTCAGGCTTAAGAAGGCAGGGCAGCCCATGTTGAGATGACACAAACCTGATTTTCTAAAGGGTCACACGCTGCCATGTTTGTTGGTCACACAAGCACATTATTCATGGTAGAAAATGTCAGGTTAATTAGAATAATATACTCACTAACCTATTTTGTTTTAGTCTTAGTGACTCAGAGAAGACTATCCAAAGTCCTTCATAAGGAACGGCTTGTCAAAAATTGAAGATTGTTGAATGAATCGAGTGTCGTATACTCTGACAATGATTAATCTCAACACTTCATTTATGATGCTCCATACCCTGATAATTTCTGTGGAAACTTCAGTTTCTTACCCCAGTTGTGCTGTCCTTTTTCCTTTATTATGGTTCACTATTTAAACCAGTGCTATCCAATAGAACTTCCTGTGTTCCTGAAAATGTCCCGTATCTGCAGGGTCCAAAATGGTAGCCTGTAGCCGTATCCGGTCACTAAGCAAGGCTATTGGACGATGAGGAATGTGAAGCCCATGGGGGTTACAGGACTTACCAGGGACCACATTGGTAGTTAGTGACAGCATCTGAATGAATCTCCTGGCTTTCCCTAGGATGTCACACTGCCTCGTGTTTAGTTTTCATCTGGGCAGGAAAAATGAGCGATTTCAGAAAGGGAGACCTAATTTGTGCACCTAATAACTGAATGGATATATGGGAATAATATTACCTCCTCCAGCCTTGCATGTAACAGATGACAGAGAAATTCAGTTGTGCTAGATAGCAGGACTGTAGCATTAGGACTCCAAGCCGAATTGAACAGAATAAATCATTAAGTCCTGTGTCACTGTCTGCCTAAGGCTGCTCAGAACAGATCTTAATATTGTGTTCTGTTTATTATTCATTCATTCACTTATTGAACACCTCCACTGGTCCACATAGAGTAGGTGCTGGAAGGAGGGAGGCATATGAAAATGGATAAAAACAGTTGAAGCATTCGGTGCCTATGGGAAGACAGATGGCCAATCATTTGAATGCGATGCCTAAGTGCCACACGACATTGCCAGGCAGGGGAGCCCAGGGCCGAGGGTTTTATGTTATCGCTCGGTACGTGGGTGCACTAGGGCAATGATGGGTTCTGGAAGCCAGATCTGGGTTCCAATTCAGCGCTTCGCTTACTACCTCAGTGACCTCGGGCAAATGACTGAACCTGGTTTTAGCCTTATCTTTAAGATGGAGATAATATGCTGTCTTTCTTGCTAAGATGACACAAAATAATGCACTTACAGCTCTGGGCATAGTGCCTCATTCAGAGGACGCATTCACTGAGTGTTAGCGCTCACTCCTACTGCCGTTGTCTTTGTTATTTTTATTATTATTATTAGGAGGACACAGGAGCCCTGGGAGGCATAATTGTCTTTATTTTGCAGACAAGGAAACTGAGGCTCAAAGAGGTTAAGCAGCTCAAGCCACAGTGATAAAAAGGGACAGGGTCAACATTTGACGCAAGTCAGAGCTGGCTGCTCTCAGGAGGGGAGGACTCCCTGAGAGGGCTGCCTTGGAGAAGTGCTAGGGGCCTCTGGGGGTGCTGAAGCAGAGGCCCTTGACCAGCAGGGGCTCCAGAGAAGAAACCTCAGGCCTGATTAGACTACCACCTAAACTTGCCATGCCTCTGGTGTCCTTTCCAGAAGTTTCCTTACCCGGCATTTGTTGTCCTAGAAGTATGCACATACAAGATCAACTTAAACTTTAGATAAACAATGCTCCTTCCAGCACAGGTTTTATGCTAGATTCTGGGGTTAGTGAAAGAGCCACGGTGGAAATGGTCCTGTCCATCCATCCATCCATCCATCCATCCATCCATCCCCTGCATCACAAACATGAAACGCCTACTGCATGCTAGACACCATCCTGACGGTGTTTTTCTTCTGTAAGTCTTACGTTTTCTACCAGATAGTACTCAATTCAAGACAGGAAGTGGTGAGTGAGGTGTGAGGTGCACACTGGTGAGTGCAGTTAGAGAGGGAGTGAGTACTTGTGCATGGTTTCCACCCGCTCAGCTTGGCAGCTTGGCAGAGAGGTGAAGAGGGGATGTCCGGGGACTCTCCCACATCTGAACCGAATAATTAAAGCTCATCGTGCTTCGTGCTACAGCGCATGCCTGTATGTATACATGGGATTAAGGACTGCTTCGTGCAGGTTTTACAGCTCCAGCCACGAGCGTCGTGATTGGTACATAATATACTAGGGAACCAAATGATTTGGGTTTGGTTTTGTTTGGGTAAATTAGAAAAGAAGTCTCTTGGTTCCCGGCAATAGAAGGTCTAAAGCGGCCGGGGTGCGGTGGCGTGGGGGTCCACCGAGGCCTGTCTGGGCTAGAACCAGAGAGAGGAGGAGTTTTTAGCAGGGTGGTGGCGTTCCAAGTAGAGGGCTCTGCGCAGGTGAAGGAGGCGTGGGTGCTGGGAGAAGGGCGTGCAGGCGTGAGCAGGACTCCCGCCTCAGGAAATGCACGCAGCCCAGGCCAGGTGGGTTCCTCCCGGCGTCGCCGTGAAGCTGCCCTGCTGGTCCAGTCGGGAGCGTGTCCAGAACCCCAGGCTTAGCTATCTTTAAAATACCGAGCCGGTCCCAGGCAGGCACCTGGCCGCGCGCTCAGCTCTCCGGCTGGGGGTGAGTAGACTTAAGTAGCATTGCTCCATCCGCAAGTCCCTGCTCGGGAGCAGGGGAGGCCGCAACAGGTCCCCGCGGGCACCCCGGGCTCGCTCGCCCGCCTCCAGGGCCGGCGCCTTTCCCCGCCCGCCGCGCCCCGGGGGCTGGCCGGCGCGCCGGGCAGCGGGGCCGCCTCTCCGGAAGCCGTCCCGGTGGTCCCCGAAGCGGCTCATAAATCATTCATGAGCAGGACAGAGTTGGGCGAACGCCGCTGCAAGGGGAGGGCAGGCGGCGGCGGGAGCTGCCACGGGAGCTGGACCCGGCGCACGGTGAGTAGCGGCGTCCTCATCCCGGAGCCCGGGAGGCGTCATCGGTGACGGTGGGGGCCGGAGCGCACCCTCCTGCAGGAAGGTGGGGTCGGGAAATCGGGAACGGAGGGGCTCGCTCTGGCCCCGCGGCAGGTAGTACGAGCCCCGAGAGCGGTCGGGGAGCCAGGCGGCTGCAAAGTGGCCGAGGTGGCCCGGGCGCCAGGCCAGCGGGAGTTCCGGGCAGAGCGCGGACGCGCGCAAACTTTGCCCGCTGCCTGGTGGCTGCGTGGTGGGTCTTCTTTCCAGCCACAGGAGGGGAGCCGGCGGCTGTGGCTCGCCAGGTACCAGGACACAAGCAAGCGGGACCGGGACCCCCGAAGCCGCGGGCTCGCTCTCTGAGAAGGCGGAGGGCGGAGGGGAGGCTCGTCAGGGGTTTGGGAACTGTTCTGCGGGGAGCGGAGTGCTGGGGGTGCCCCGGGGGCGCGGGGTACTGAGCCTCCCCTGCCGGGGATGGAAAGGGGTCACCTCCCCCTGGTTTTCCAAATGGAATACGCGGTGCAATAGACCATAGCAGGAGGGGGGCCCGGGGGGAGCCACGGGAGGCGGTCTCCCGGCGTCTATGGGAGAGCCTCACGCACCCCGGGCTTGATGCAGCCCCCACCCCCTTGTGTGCACAGTTAGGGGACCTACGGCAATTGCCGGGTGGAGAACTGAGTTCGCTCTGGGCGCACCTCGCCAGTACCGCGCCGCGGGCTGGAACAACAAAGGGAAGCGTGGACGGAAGAACGAGCTTCGAGGTGCGGGAGAGGCAGGGTGTCCCAGGTCAGTTTCCCCGAAAGCCCGCTCCGAGAGGAGAAGGGGATTCGAGGGGGTGGCACACCGCTCCGCTCCCCCTTCTCCCTGGCGACCCCGATGCAGCCTCCGGGGGTGGCAGGGATCCCGTGCGGACGCGCGGGGGCAGCCAAGTTACTCGGGCAACCCCCTCCCCCAGGCGGCGGCGGATTCCTCGAGTCTCCTCGCTTCCCGCGCCCGCCCTACCGCCCATTCTTTTGTGTCCCGCAGCCCGGGAGAGCCTCCTGCCGAGGAGGGAGAGAGGGCAGGAAGGGGCCCGGCCCGGCGGTAGGTGGGAGGGAAAGGCTGGGGGAAGCCGGCGCCCCAAGCTTCTTGCAGCAACAGGTTGCTCCTGTAACTCCCGCCCCGGCTCCGATCCAGAAAGATTTTCCAGGGTGCCTGTGGGCAGCGGCTGACCTTCGTTAAGACACGCAGGTGAACGATCGGGGGTCCTTGAACGCCCCGCTGGAGACTCAAACGTCTGCCGTTGTATGTTGGGTTGAACCGTACCCAAATGCTGTTTTTGTGGCTCAAAGACGAGTATGGGAATCATTGTGGATTCACACTGTGTGAAGTTACTACTTCTTTTTCTTTCTCACTTTCTGTTGCGTATCCTCCGGGAGCTGTCCTGTCTGTCAAGGTGAGCCCAGGGCCACGGAGGAGTGTGAAGGATTGATGCTGGCAGTGGTGGTTCGGGACCCTTTTTTGACTGTCAGCTCTCTGCCTGGTGCTGTACCTACTCCGTGTCTAACCCTCCAGCACTATTCAAAACCCCACTTTATGGACAAGCAAAGCAAAGCAGGGAGAATGTAAGCAACCGCTCAAGTTACCGGGTTAATGAATGGGACTAGAGACCCCTGCCCCGTCTCAAACGTGTGGCCTGTTGTCACTTCAGCAATGTCCTTTAGTTTCGTTTTGCTTCCTTGATATGTCCCCATAATTTTTTTTAAATGAACTTCCTTATGATTTCCACACTGGACTATTTCTGTGCATTCCAGCACAGTGAAGTAAACAAGTGCATCAACGGACTGGCTCAAAGCAGTAAGACTTTAAGCCAAGTATTATTTTATTGGTACTGTTTAATATATGAAGGATGAAGGTTTTGCAGGGAACCAAGAGCTATCTCAGATTTGTTAAGGGTCAGGATGCTTTGTTACAAACGATAGAAGCCAACGCTGGGTAATTTTAGCAGGAAAGGGACTGGGTAGCTTAGAGAAGTGACAGGAAGCCTGGCTAGCCAGACTCAGGAGCTCATGCAGGACATGCAACAGGTCCCCCGATTGGTGTGTGGCCACGGCTGCCGCCACAAGACTCTGGATGTGGCTGCTGGCACTGTGCCATCATTGCTAGAATGAATTAGAAACTGCCTCTGCTTGAGTGCGGGCCCCAGGCACAAGCCCAGGAATAAGCATCTGCTGGGTGAGCGTGAGGGACCCCCCAGGGCACAGTTTGGGCACCTCGGCTGACCTCACAATGAAATGCCAGGGTTCTGCCCACAGGACTCACAAGGGTAGGCTCAGAAGTTAAGCAGCTCCCCCGCAGCTCTCCCTCCTCGGCAGGAGGCTCTCCCGGGCTGCGGGACCACCCCCCCCCAACCCCGCAACTAAATCCCAGGTGACAAATATCCACTACAAAGATCCTTTTGATAGAAGGAGAAATGAAGCTAGATAGTCACCATGTCTGCTTTTAAACTGGTGTCTGTGGAAGTGCCATTCTCTGGACTCCAAGCTCAGAATCATGTGAAGTATTTGCTCAAAATTCACATTCTTGGGCCCCCTTTCCAGTTTGAACTCAGTGCATTTGGAATGGAAACCAGGAATCTGTACCCCATAAATCAGAAAAATGGTGAGATCGCCTTTATTGATTGGTCTAGTGCCTGTGTAAGGAGCTAGCCTCTGAGGGAGCAGTTTCCAAAAGCCTGCAAAGTTGAGGGTCCCAGCGGAAGGCATGGCCCCAGGATGGTAGACCAGTTGCTCTGCCATGTGCAAAACCAGTAAAGAGACAGTCTGCTGCCTATATCATGGGGATAGCTACAGACCCTCCAGCACCTCCCTTCCAGAGGCTGTGGGACTGCTAATAAATGCTCGATACAATCTTGAAATGGGTAAAAATGACCATTTCATGTCAGTTCTGCCTCTATCCCTCACCGTTTGATTTCAGCAATCCTTTATTGAGTGCCTACTGTGTGCCTGGCTCTGGGGGCATAGAGATGAGTAAACCCCCACACAGCAGCTGGGATAGATCAGTTTAATGCACTATAGGAAGGCCATCTGGAGGACTTTTCCTTGAATCTGTTGTCTTGCAGTTGTATTTGAGAAGCCAAAGGTGTCTTTGGAGAGTGGCCTGAATAAGCCAGGTGAGTGAGTACTCAGGAACAGTGCCGGTTCTCAGACTTCAGTTGTTTTGAGAATCAGTCACCGAGGGAGAGTGTTGAAAATGCAGATTAATGGGCCCCATCTCCAGAAATTCGGTCCAATAATTAGCATTTTAAATAAATATACATTTTATGCTAATGCAGCTCCTGGTCCAGGAGAGCTGGCCTGGGTTTTAGGCTGGCTCTCCCAGGAGCGGCTCCCAGCTGCTCCTGCCACCCAGGGGGGTTAACGGGTGAGGACCCAGACCATCCCTTTTGGCTTGACTTTTATTATCTAGTGTTTCCTAAGTCGTGAGATTTTAGTATTAACATTTACTCTAAATGTGAGAGGGACCGACACTTTGGAGGAAGAAGTGAAGAAATCTGGACACGTAGCTCTAGGTGCCGGCCAGCTCAATTGGCACTTCCAGCCTCGCAGCCGTGAGTGGGGCTGCATTTCACTTGGGATTTGCCTTCCCCTGCTTTTTCATGGAGAGAGTTTGAAACTGTTTATTCATAGCTCTTCCGCAGGCCTCTTGCCATCTCTCTCCTGCTGTGTTCTCTCCATCACTGGCTGAGGCCCGGTGGCATTAGCAAGAAGTCAGCCTCTCTCAGCAGCTGAGCCTTTAATCCTTTCAGCTGCTGTGCTCCCCGCCTGTCCTTTAGCAGAAAACAAGACGGGAGCGTGTTGTGTGTAGTGTGTGTGTATTGTACAGGATATTTATATGAGCATACGTTTTGTGTGTATGCATGTTTTGTGCGTGTGTGGGGTGTGTGAGTGTGTGTGGTATGTGTCTGTGTGGTGTGTATATGTGTAGTGTATTAGTATGTGCTGTATATGTGTGTTAGGGTGTGTTATATGCACGTTTGTCATGTTATGTGTCGTGTGTGTGTGTTAATGTGTTGGTGTATGTGTGCTGTGTGTGTATGTGTGGTGTGTGCTGGTGTGTGTGGTGTGTGTATGTGTGGTGTGTATTAGTGTGAGTGGTGTGTGTATG